TGGTGGTAGTCGATTCCACAAGAAAGTTGTGGGAGGAAGAAAACTTCTTTTAAATTGCACAGTGTTGGACCGCCAGTCATACAGATACATACAGTGTAGATGGTATAGCGAGTTTTGTCGCGATGTGCGATGGTGAAATTGTGCGGCTGGAATTAGTCCCCACAATTCCTCAAAGCACTCCCCGTGGTTAATGCGATAAAATACGCAAAGTGGTGCAACATCTCTTCCACTGGGAAGAGATGTCACTGGCACTGGCCAGTGAGTCAAGCCGGTCGAAAAGAGTTCGGTCGCTGACGATTCGAACAGCTCTGCGCTGGATGCGATCAAATGGAAGGAGTTGGCACTGGGGAGCCCTAGCCCAGAGATGGGAACAGTATTCCATGTCACGCCGAGCCTGCGCCTTGTAAAGTTGCAGGCGGTGTGCCGGCATAAAATACTGTCTCGCTCTGCTGAGAATGCCAAACTATTTAGAGGCCAATTTGGCCTTCTCTTCCAAGTGACCACGAAACTGCCCGTCACTCGATATGTCGACTCCGAGGATACCGATACTGGTTGAGGAAAGAAGGGGAGTGCCTTGAAACTGAGGAGATACGACAAAGGGGTTCTTTTTAGCGGTAAACGCGCAAACTTGTGTCTTCTGAGGATTAAACTGGACTAGATTTAGTCGCCCCCAATCCGAGACTTTGTTCAGCAAAGACTCGACTTCAGACACAAGTTTGTTCCGGTACTCGGCGATATCTTCCCGAGAAATATTTGGCACGGCCAGTGTACAAAGCATCACCAATGCTGTCATCCGCATAGCAATGAATGTTACCGGTTTGCAACATGTCATTGATATGCAGAAGAAACAGCGTTGGCGATAGCACGCAGCCTTGTGGAACACCAGCGTTAATGGGCTTGTAATCGGAGCATCCACCGTCTACTACGACCTTGATGCTGCGATCTGCAAGAAAACTGGTGATCCGATTGCATAATTTCTCGGGAAGTCCATAGGAAGGAATCTTCCTAAGAACCGCTTTGTGCCAAACCCGATCGAAGGTCTTCGCTATGCCCAAACTAACTGCCAACGCCTCCCCCTTGGAACAGAAACAAAAACAGGAACTTTTTTATTCAATATAGATTATAAATAATACTTACTGAAAGTCACTCTTTTGTTTGATTACCACTAGTTCGGAAAAAACCTCAGTCCTGGGAAGAACCAGCAAGAAACCCAGCGGGACTTTTTTTTTAAATAACAGCTTACAATCATGATGTTACACAAATTAACAACACAACAAATTAGAAATAGCTTGATAGCGATCACCTCATTTCCAGGGGTTATTATCATCCATAAATTCCTTAATATTATAATAACCCTTTTTATACAAACTTAGTTTAATAAAGTTTTTGAACTTTGAGCAGATCAAACTTTGTATATTTTCTGGAATTTTGTTGTAAAAACGTATACATCGCCCCAAGAATGAATTACTGACTCGATGGAGTCGAGTAACTGGTACTACTAGCTTGTGTCTGTTCCTAGTATTTACAGAATGAATATCACTTATTTTTGTAAAACTACTTTTATTTTTGTGTACGTACATTACATTTTCATAAATGTATTGTGAGGCCAAAGTTAATATATTAAATTCCTTAAATTTTTGTCGCAGCCACTCTAGGCTTTAAATCATAAATTGCTCTTATGGCCCTCTTCTGTAAAACAAATATAATTTCAGTGTCAGCTGCGTGTCCCCATAGCAAAATACCATACGACATTATGCTATGGAAATAGCTGAAGTAAACTAGTCTAGCTGTTTCAACACTGGTTAGACTTCTAATCTTTTTTACAGCATATGCTGCAGAACTAAGTCTGCTTGCTAGTTTTGATATATGGGGGCTCCATTGAAGCTTCGCGTCTAGTGTGATTCCAAGAAAAATGGTGGTATCTACAAGACTCAGTTTCTCCCCATTTAAAATTACATTAGTAGTAAATTGTTTGACATTTGGAGTCATGAATTTCATACATTTCGTTTTAGTGCCATTTAAATGCAAATTATTAACATTGAACCAATTTTCTAATTTAGATATAGCATTATTTACTTCGTCATATTTTAGTAATTGTCGACTTAATTTGAAAATTAAAGAAGCGTCGTCTGCAAATAATACTATATAATGGTTATCCCCTACTATGTAAGGTAAGCCATTAATGTATACAAGAAACAGAAAAGGGCCGAGAATTGAGCCTTGAGGCACGCCCATATGTACCATAGATCCGGAAGAGCTCATATAGTTAATGACAACTTTTTGCGTTCTCTTACTTAAATATGAAATAATTAATTTAAGAGCATCACTTCTTACACCGTAGGACTTGGACTCTACTGTCTCCGCCCATCTATGAATCAGGTACCTTGAGGATCACGAGCTGATCGACTCCGACGGAAACCGTACTGACGGTCACTAATCAGCTAGTGATCCTCAAGGTACCGCATAAGCTGGTTGTTAATGGACTCCATTATTTTAGAGAACAAGAAGGTGATGGCGATAGACCTGTAGTTGGACGAATCTGAGCGGTCGCCTTTTTAAGGATCGGGTGCGCCAAAGCTGTCTTCCATGAGTTCGGGACTACGCCTAAGGAGTAGGAGTAATGCAAAATACGCGTTAAAGCCGGTGCCAACTCCGGAGCATACGCCCTCAGCACCATTGGGGGATACCGTAAGGCGCACTCGACTTTTGGATGTCCAGGGAGCGAACCGAGCGTTGTCAGAACCGCACATCCGGCATGGAGCACTCACACCGCGATATGGTCGGCTGTGTGGTCCCCCGTCTTTAAGGGTCGAGTTGGACGCAAAAAGGGAGCCCAAAAGGTCGGCTTTCTCTTTTGCGGCGTGGGCCAGTGAGACGTCTTCCCTGTGCAGAGATGGTAGTGCTAGCTTACAGAAACACCCTTGGACAGCCTTGGCAAGAGGCCAGAATGCACGGGTTCCCGAAGGAAGGCGAACTAGTTTCTCGTCAATTCTGCCTATGTGTTCTGACTTTGCCTTGGCAATAATTCTTTTGAAGGACCTGGAGGCGAAGTTATATTTCTTTTTAAGCATGCTGGTGTTTACATCCCGAGACGCCGAAGCCTCAGCCCAGGCCTGATAACACTCCTGCTTACTGCGTAATGCAGTCTTACAGGAGCGACCAAACCAAGGCTGCGATCTTTCTCCGATAATCACCACAGATGATGGAATAAATAGTTCCATTCCGTGTAGCACTGCATCAGTGACAGAGTCAGCAACAGCGCTGGGATCATCCGGCGAGAAGCAATCTCATGGGTAGGATGCAAAGAAAGACCGCGTTCCGTCCCAATCCGCTGACCTGTAATGCCACACACGGCGACAACCTGCAGAACGCAACCGTGAGGGGAGCGTGATGAGAAGTCAGCAGAAGGTCCAACAGGGAAAGTGCATGATCCTCCACATCTGGAATCCGCGTAGGCGAAGTAACCAGTTGTGTCAGACCATATGCCAAGGCAAAGTCGTCTACAGATCTCCCCGCATGATCGGTTAAACGTGAACCGAGCCATTCGGCGTGGTGGGCTTTAAAATCGCCAAGGATTACGATCTCTACGGATGGGACCTATTGTAGCAAGGAATCTGTAGCCATTTGGACATGGTCAATGAGTCGGTCTGTTTCATCATTACCGCTATGGGACGTATAGAGGCACCCGTAGAAGCGCGGATGGTCGTCGCTGTTTACGCATCTGGAAACTGCCGAGACGTCGAGGACAGATGTCCTCTCTGACGTATACGCAAACTTCAGCCCGAGGCACAAAGGAGTGTTCCAATTTGTACCCCGGGTAGGAGAGATACGAAGCCGGAGAGGACACCTGCGTCTCGGTCAGAAAGAGCAAGGCCGGCTTCGCCGTCTCGAGATGGTGGTGGACGGCGTTTAGGTTCGAGTGAAGTCCCCTGATATTGCAGAATTTCACGGATAGCGTGCCAGGGGTCGCTTTGGTCTTGTTGCTCAGTTTGCCCCGTGCAGTTATTATTTTGAGCGGAATTTTTGCTAACTGAGAGAAGTAGCCTAATGCTATACTATTCCTCATGAATCTGGCTATAATATAGGAAAACATTTTTTTTCAAATCGGACTGGTAGTTCCAGAGATTGGCCTGTTTAAACAAACAAAAAACAAAAAGAACCCTTCCACTTTATTATATTATAGTATAGATTACAAAGTTATAATGCAGTTGTTGGGTTATGTTCATGTTATTTTTATGTTTATGTCATATTCTCTTACTCCTTAGGTGTCGTTGCAAGCTTATGGAAGACAGCCTTAGTGTATTCGATTCCTAAAAAAGGCTGGAACCTATCCAAATACAGGCCTATCGCCGTCACCTCCTTGTTCTACAAAATAATGGAATCCATTATTAACTGCCAGCTCACGCGGTACTTTGAAAAGCATAAGCTGATTAGTGACCTTCAATACGGTTTCCTTCGAAGCTGTTGAAGGACGGAAACGGCGTGATTGTGTGTATGTATACATACATACAAAATACATACATACCTACTTACAAAATTAACTATTTTATGGGTCAAAATATAATATTCTCCGTAAAGAATAGAACGGATTTCAAAAAGGAAAATCCACAACACATACCCCATTTTCTTTAATGTATAGAGTAACTGATTATATCAACAAAAAAGTACCAGTAGTTGCCATGTTTTACGACATGTCAAATTTGACTGTGTTGACCATATTATTCTAATAGACAAATGTGAAAGATATGGAATTTGTTGGCCTGCGTTAAATTGGTTAAAATCATATTTAGAGAATCGGCAACAATGTGTTGAAGTGACGCGTATTGATGAAAAGTATAACCGCACGTCATTTAGATCTTCTTTTAGGCCGGGTTTACACGATAAGAGTTGGCTCGGACCGAGTCACGTCAGAGTACACTCGTACGAGTCAGCGTCATACGAGTGTACTCCTATAGTGGTTTACACGATCATAGTGTACTCTTATCAAAGTTCATTCAATTTTGTGTCAACTCACGGAACACACTGATCTTCTCAACATGGAACAGACTGATCTGCTGTTGCAAGGTGTCGCAGTTGTTGCAGATATACTAATAAAAGAGTTGAACCATATAAGCAAAGAAACAAGCAATGTAAAAAGAAAGAAGGAACGCAAGAAGAGATCGATTTGGACCCGCGAATGGATATTAAGGCGTGAAAAGCTGGGAGCATCGGATAATTTTCTCCGAGAAGTACGCATGGAAGACAAGGCCACTTACAAGAATCATTTGAGGCTGAACGGTGAACAATTTGACTATCTGTTACAAAAAGTAACGACGAAAATACAGAGAGCTGATACAGTCATGAGAGCTGCTCTAACTGCCAAAATAAAGCTACAAATAGCTATGCGCTATTTAGCAACTGGAGATAGTTTTCCAAGTTTAGAAAGTTCTTTTCGAGTTCCAAAGAGCACCATATCCAAGTTTCTGCCAGAAGTGCTAGATGCAATATATGAAGGGTTGGAGGAGTACATAAAGGTCAGTAACAAGAAATCATAGTGAAATTTTTATTTAATATCAAGCTACCTACAGTTAAAGTAATCTTAATTATTGTTTAGCAAAATAGCGATAATTCTCATTATTTTGAATCCCACCAATGCTTCGAATTGCTTTTTGTAATTGATCATCTTCTACAAATTCTGGTGATGTTTCTTGCCTTGTTGCATCACGTTGGATCTGAACTTCGATGCCTTCTTCTTGTAATGCATCATTTACTACAACAAGTTGTGATGATTCTTGCCTTGTTCCGTCACGTTGAATATGAATCTGAGATTCAAGATTATTGAATAAATGTTCTGGTATTTCAAATGTATATTCATTCGATGTCGTAGAATTGTTTCCCAATTGCATTCGATTTATTCTTTTCCGTTTTACTATTTCTATTATTTCAGACTGAACATCTAGTGCATCTATTAGGGGCAACTGTCGGAGCTGGCTGGCGATATTTTTGGCGAAAAGGGAGAATTCATCTTCTATTTCTTTATGACACAGTACTTGGTCCTTGATATTATTAAGTGTTTCAATAGACTTCTCGATATGTTGAGGTACTAATGGTCGTTTAAGTGGTCGCTTCTTCTTGATAGTATTTTGTGGCTTAACGAATATTTCACTATTTAACTGCTGGGAAGATGATGGCGTTTGAAGATCTGCCGGTGGTGGAAGAGGTCCTGGTATGTCCGATGAAGGTTCGGCGAGAATATCTGATGAAGGGGCGATGGGAATGTCTGGTGAAGGGGCGATTGGAATGTCTGGTGAAGGGGCGATTGGAATGTCTGGTGAAGGGGCGATTGGAATGTCTGGTGAAGGGGCGATTGCAATGTCTGGTGAAGGTGCGGCTGGAATGTCTGGTGAAGGTGCGGTTGGAATGTCTGGATCTGAAGAGCTGTTATCTGAATTCTCCTGTAACAAAACAATAATAGAAAATTAAAAATATGCCGTGTTTTTTTTTCAGATCCCAAAGACAACTGAAGAATGGACAAATATTTCGAGAGTGTTTGATAACCGTTGGAATTTTCCTGGATGTTGTGGAGCCTTAGATGGCAAGCACGTCAATATACAACAACCAATCGACAGTGGAAGTGACTTTTTTAATTATAAAGGTTACTTTAGTACTGTACTTTTGGCTCTGGTAGATGGGGACTACTGTTTTACATATATTGATGTGGGCAGCCAGGGTAGATTAAACGATGCTTCAATATTCAGTAATTCAATACTTAAAGAGAAATTGGAAGATGGGACTCTGAATTTTCCTTCTTGGGGTGTCATTTTAGGAGACGAAGCTTTTCCACTGAAACAGTATTTGATGAAACCATATTCTCGAAGATTAACATTGACAGCCGAAGAGAAAACTTTTAACTACCGTCTTTCTCGTGCCAGAAGAATAGTAGAAAATGCATTTGGCATAATGGTGTCAAAATTTCGAATATACCGGACTCCAATATATTTGTGTCCAGACAAAGTTGACAAAATTGTTAAAGCAACTTGTGCACTTCACAACTGGCTCATGAAGACAGCCATGCACTATTATGCACCAGTGGGAACAATGGACACAGATGACAGACCTGGTTTGTGGAGACAGGAACCTAGTTCAAATTATATTGCACATGTTGTGAATCAAGGTAGTAATCATCCATCTCGGTTGGCAGAGCAAAGAAGAATCAATTATAAAAATTATTTCATTGGAGAAGGCTCCGTCCCGTGGCAAAGTAGCAGAATATTTTAAGAATATCTATATAATAGAAATTTTTTCTGAATTACAGGAACGACATCTTAGAGAGAAAAATTTGGTAATTGTGGGAGTCCCAGAGGCTAAAGGAGAAAACTCCAAACAAAGATATACATCTGATATGGGTGAACTTTTAAAAATAATAAAAAAATCATTTCCAGAATGTCCTGATCCTATACAAGTGCGACGTATTGGCAAATATAGCCACAAGAAAACCCGACCAATAAAAGTAAGTCTCCCGTCGCAAGAAATAGCTAAATGTATTTTACGAAATAAATCAATCCAGACAGATAGTTCAATAAAAATATACTCAGATAAGACTGCCTACCAACAGCAAAAAATAAAAGAACTGAGAAAAGAATTAGAACGTCGGACACAAAATGGCGAGGAGCACTTACTGATAAAATACATAAAAGGCATGCCCAAAATCATTAAAAATCAATCAAAAAACTAAATAATGAAACACTTAAACAGATTAACTTCAATGCAAGCGTAAAATCAGCTTATTTACAAAATCACCGTAACAATATAACTTATCAAGCTGTCAACAGTTACACAAACATAAATAGAAGTACAAGATCATTGAATTTCATATATGCTAATGTACGAAGCCTGGTTAAACCTGGAAAACTTGATGAACTTAAGTGTATTGTATCATCCTTGCATAAAGTTCACGTCATCATATTGACTGAGACGTGGATAAAATCCGAAAACGAAGCACAAAGACTTAAGTTACCAAATTTCACCCATTACTACAACTTTAGATCCTATTCTAGAGGTGGAGGAGTCTCAATCTACGTTCATAATAATTTAAAACATTATTTTGTAGAAAGTAAATGTGAAGAAGATAATCACTATCTATGGATACACTTAAAAAGATTTTCACTGGATATCGGAGCCATTTACAAACCAGAAAGAACAAACGCTAGTAACTTTTTTGAAACATTTACACAAATAGTTCAGAGCCACAAACGAGCAATAATTTTTGGTGATTTCAATTTTGATCTACTCAAAAAGGGACGCTTAGTTGAAGACTACAAAAATGTCATAAAGGAAAATGGATTCACCATATTAAATAAAATAAATGCGACATATTGTACACGCGAAACATCAACCACTAAAACTATATTAGATCATGTCAGCTCTAATCTAAAAGAACACGACTTTCATATGGCAATAATAGAATCCGCATTATCAGACCATAAACAAATATATTTTGAAGTAAAACAATACAAGCCCAAAGCTACGAAAAAAATTAAATATGAAGCTATAAATTACCAAAACCTCTACTGCGACATGATGAATATGAAATACACCAATGATCAATATATAACACTTGAAGAATCTATCCAATTAGCTATAAAAAGAAACAAAGTAATGAAAACCAAAATTATGAACCCTCCTCAAAAGGACTGGATAAATAAGGATATATTAGAGAAAATTGACAGACGAAATGAGCTATGGAAGAGTTTTAAGCAAAATCCGGGAAACTTAGAAATTGAAAAAAAATTCAAGAAAGAAAGAAATGAAACCTTCGAACTTATTCAAACTACAAAAAATGAATACTACAATAAAATCTTTAAAACTTGTATTGGTAAGTCTTCCAAAATGTGGCAACTTATAAATAACTTATCAAACAACAAAACAAAAGACAATTTTGCACCCACTCGTCTATTAACTGCTGAAGGCACTATTACGGACCCGCAAAACATCTGCGAAAAATTTAATGAATATTTCGCAAATATAGGTATTATTCTGGCAAAGGAATTTCCATCTCAGTATCATCAAAAATATTTACATACAATGCAAAATAGACCAAATAAATTTATTAAAATATTTAATCAATTTGAATTAACTACAGTTGAGGAAGTTAAAAAAATCATAGATAATCTCAAATTAAACAGTAGTACAGGTGTTGACGGGATCAGCTCTAAAACTATTAAATATATAAGAGACCCTTTATCTTTTTGCTTAACAAATTGCATTAATAGATGTATTCAGGAAGGCTATTTCCCTGACTCACTGAAGCTTGCCAAAGTCACTCCAGTCTATAAATCGGGACCTAAGCATGAGCCAGGCAACTACAGACCAATATCAGTACTTCCTACTATATCAAAAGTTTTTGAGAAAATTTTACATAAGCGTCTTAGTGACTATTTAATCTTAAACAAACACCTCTCTGAGCATCAGTATGGCTTCAGGTCAAAATCAAACACCCTTTCAGCATCAATTGATCTCATTACAAAACTTAAAACCAGTATAGACCAAAAACATATAGCCCTTGGAGTTTTTATTGATCTAAAGAAGGCATTTGATACAGTAAGCCATGAAATTCTTCTATGTAAGCTTTCTGCGCTCGTCATAGCTGGATTAGCACTAGAAATGATAAAGTCGTATCTGACTAACCGTTTTCAAGTAGTTAAAATAGATAAACATGTTAGCAACCCTAAGCCTGTTCAATACGGTGTTCCCCAAGGGTCAATTTTAGGGCCTTTGCTGTTTTTAATATATATAAACGATATAAACAACATAGGCTTAAAGGGACATATCACCTTGTATGCAGATGATACCTGCCTCTTTTATTTTGGACAGAGCATCAATTCAATCATATTGGAGGCCCAGCAAGACCTCAACCTCTTGCAAGAATGGTTCTCGTGCAATTTGTTGACTATCAATGTATCAAAAACAAACTATGTAATTTTTTCTGCAAAAAACAAAAAAGTTCCAGACTTATCACCTCTTACAATAAATGGTGCTCAGATAAATAGAGCAAATAAGGAAAAATACCTAGGACTTATTTTGGATAACAGGTTGTCATGGAAGCCACACATTCAAAAAATAAATTCTAAATTGTCTTCTTTTTTAGGAAGTGTGCGAAATATAGTAGGATGTCTGCCACAAAATGTTCGATATATTTTATATAATACACTTATCAAACCACATATTGACTATTTAATCGAGGTATGGGGATCAGCACATAAAACTAATTTACGTAGACTACAAACTACCCAAAACAAATTAGTCAAGGCACTATTTCATTATAAATATTTAACACCATCTACTTTTATATATAAAGAAACCAAATTACTAAATATATCACAAATATATCAATATAACACTTGCATATTAATACGTAAAATACTTAAAAACGACATTCATTCGCAAATATTGTTTAAAAAAAATATAGATTTTCACAAGCGTAACCTAAGACGAGCCAATGATATATACATACAAAAAGTTAGAACTGAGTATGGTAAGAAAAATATAATGTTTGACGGTGCAAAATTGTATAACGCTTTACCTAAAAATATAAAAGAATCAAAAACATTGCCTCTCTTTAAAAAATTATTGAAACGCCATATTTTGGAAAATTAACCACAAAAAAATTGATATTAAATGTGAATTAGTTTGTAGGCACCCTTATTTCTGTTTTCGGTTGCATATTAGTTGTTCGGTTATTACAATTTGTGCGCGATGCTCAAACCTATGTTTACTGTTCTTTTAAATTGTTTACGTTTTACCCACAACTATACTTAATATTTCTGTATGCTCGTAATGTATTCCTTTATTACTGTTTTGTAAATTGTTAAATTTCTCGTAAGTGATTTGTAATCTTTTGAGAAATAAATAATATCTTAAACCTAAATATCTGTGTTCTTATATTTTAACGTGACATTATAAAACAGCTAATTAATTAAATACAAATGTTTATTGTTTTATTATAATAAATAAACTTACCACATTCTGATAAGTTTTCCTGCTTTTTATGACCCCAGATAAAAATCTGTCGGCGATTTCGTACCAAGCCAACGAAGGAACATACACATCATTAGCTCCTGATCCGGTCCCGGTAGATTTTTTAATTTTTACTTTTTCCTGGGCGTATGTGCTACGAATGTTATTTATTTTCGTGTTCACCTCTTGAATTGTAACCTCCATATTGAGGTTATGTATAATGTAATAAAAAAGGACTTAGTCCGGGTTGACACGATAAGAGTTGTCAACCCGGACTAAGTCCGGGTTGACACCATAAGAGTTGGCTCGGACCGAGTGCACTCGGATTACTACTCGGACGTTACTCGTATCGTGTAAACATGTAATCCGAGCGTACTCGGACGCCGGCATCTAATCCGAGTGGAATCGGATGATGCTCTATTTTCCCCTTTTACTCGGATCTCAGCTCGGATCATTTTAATTAAAAATGGCGGCGTCAAGGAAAAAGTGGACGGAACGTGATACTGTAAGGTTTGTGGAACTGTATGAAGAAGAACAAGTGTTGTGGAACGTGCGACTCAAAGACTATAAAAACAAAGATGCCCGGAATGCCGCTATTCAGCGCATTATACATAACCTCAATATGGAGGTTACAATTCAAGAGGTGAACACGAAAATAAATAACATTCGTAGCACATACGCCCAGGAAAAAGTAAAAATTAAAAAATCTACCGGGACCGGATCAGGAGCTAATGATGTGTATGTTCCTTCGTTGGCTTGGTACGAAATCGCCGACAGATTTTTATCTGGGGTCATAAAAAGCAGGAAAACTTATCAGAATGTGGTAAGTTTATTTATTATAATAAAACAATAAACATTTGTATTTAATTAATTAGCTGTTTTATAATGTCACGTTAAAATATAAGAACACAGATATTCTTAAAATATTCTGCTACTTTGCCACGGGACGGAGCCTTCTCCAATGAAATAATTTTTATAATTGATTCTTCTTTGCTCTGCCAACCGAGATGGATGATTACTACCTTGATTCACAACATGTGCAATATAATTTGAACTAGGTTCCTGTCTCCACAAACCAGGTCTGTCATCTGTGTCCATTGTTCCCACTGGTGCATAATAGTGCATGGCTGTCTTCATGAGCCAGTTGTGAAGTGCACAAGTTGCTTTAACAATTTTGTCAACTTTGTCTGGACACAAATATATTGGAGTCCGGTATATTCGAAATTTTGACACCATTATGCCAAATGCATTTTCTACTATTC